GGATAAAGTAATGAGATGAACTGTAAGGTACTGCAGTGCAAAATGTATTCGCCTTTCAACCTTACAAAAAAGAAGTGAGAGGCAATGAACAACTGAGCAATATGTCATGGTGAGGCTTTTCATACTAGTGTTCAAATATTAATCATTCACAGCAGCATAGAAACAGTGCACAATGGTATTTTATTGAATTTGCAGAAAAGAGTATTATTTTTCTTCATTTTTATTTGCATTACTCCTTTACCAGTGAATACACAAATTTGCACCTTGTTTCCAGGACACGAAGTAGGTGTACATGTCTAACTCACTACAACAATTTCAGTACATAGTGTAGTTTAACAGTCTATTGCTGTTAGAAGCTTAAAACAAGTATCTTCTAGAAAATATTGGAGATAATCCAACTTTGTGTTTTCTTAACATCGCAGGACACAACTGCATAGAATCTTATCTGTTACATGTCAATCTCTATATATGGAAGGATAAGGAAATTAATGAAAATAAGCACAGGACTGGCACTCTAATATAAAGGACACACACTGCCCTGTGCCTTCCTTTAGACTCCTGAATGCATTGTCATAAATAGAAAGCTTTCACATCACCTGATGAGTTTTTGTTAAGTAAGATTTTTGGTATTTTACATTTTCAGCCCACACTGTATTGAAAAAAATTGTGTGTGTCTCAGGTGTTCTCTGATGTCAAACAGCAGTGTCTGAGCATGCATTTTAGAAGGACTGATTGTGTGAGAATATAAGATGAATTCATTCTGCAAAATGTTGAGCTTTGAATGTTAAGGGCTATTATTTAAGAAGTCATGAACTTCCAGTCCCTAGCACATAATTAGAGCATGACAGAACTATTTTAGTAAGTTCTAGGCACCCCGAGTATATAATAATAGCACTCTACATAAAGAATTTGCTCAAATTTTAAGACCTTAGCTAAGATGGGGAAAATGAACACAGGAACAAGGTAACTTCTCTCAGCTCGTGTTCCCTGATTTTACTCATTTGGAGATGAGGGAGACTCTAGTGCAACAGGAAAGTGGTCAATGGGAAGAAGAGGTATATCAAAACCAGCCAAATAATTTAGAATGTATAAACCCATAAAATCAAATAAAAACCAGTCATTACTGTTGAAAGGTGTTGGTGACCATCACCATCCTCACAACCTCAGGTGAGATATAGTATGAGATAGAGAATTACTGCCTCCTAAGAAATACACAGGATGTTCAGCAGAATATTCCAAGGGACAGGCTTGCAATTTCACAGCCAGCTAAAGAATAGTTTAGAGCAATCGCTCCTGCCGCAATTTACAGCCAATTACAGGTTAAACAACTTAGAGTATTCCTTCTACTGACCTTCTACTGACCTATGTGCCAGTGCCCATGCCCTGGTTATGTACAAACCCTGCTCTCACATCCTGCCCATGGTCCAATATAAGCCTCCCCTGAGAAAATAAAATTTGTCAGCTTGAGCAGAATATTGTCTTGCTGTCCATTTGTTGTATCCCTTGTCCCTCACTTTCTTCTAGGTGTTCCCCAGTTTGTCGTTGACTGCCCCGCGAAAGGAAACATAAACGATACAGATATAGTATGGTACACTCTGCCTGAGCTGGGGTCTCCTACAAAAAACGAGCTTGACAATATTATTGATATAAAGCAAGCACTTTAAACACTGGGGCCTTAAATCCCTCTTCATATTAGAAGTTAAAATGACAACACTCAGACTCTCATTAAATAGTGTTTATTAGCAAAAACAGTAACACATAAAGGTAATGAATAAGAAGCATATAAATAAGTGGGGTGGTGCAGTACTGCTCCTAGCAGGCTCTGTCCCTTTTCCACTTAGAATATATAGGAACCATTACTAACCATCTCACTATAGTGACATGGACACATTTTGTTACTTTGTCACTTTTACAAAATGTTCTTCTATAGTCTTACTGACCCCTCCCAAACTCATGCTGAAATCTGTTACTGGAACAGTACCAATAAGTGAGATCTTTAAAGACCGGCTTAGGACTATGGTACAAAGTGGTACGATAAAAAAACACCCACTCTCCCAAAAAAGGCTGTCATCATGTGATAACGCAGCAACAAGACCCATGCCAGCTGTTGGCATCTGACATTGGGTTTCAGGACTCCAGAACTGCCAGTCTGTGGCATCCCATTATAGCATTGCACTGCCAAGTAAGGCATGTCCCTTGGTAAAATTTCAAACTTTTTTATTTCAGATGTTCAACAGGCAGTCTCACTCCAGTTCTTCCAATGTACATGTTGAAAACCACGTGTTTGTGGATGTCAAAAGAGGGCAGAAGAGGGCCCTGGTTCTCCTGGAGAACCAATGCATAAAAGTTCCAGTTGGTGTGAATAGCACACACGGGTACTAGTCCAAACTTGGTACTCTAGAAGAGCAATAAATAGTAGCCACTAATCTTTCCATTCCTCAATACCCATTTCTAATCAGTACACATCTGATAATTATGAACTGCACTATCTTTTTTTTCTAAAATCAATTCAGCTTAATAAAGCAAACATAGCAGCTTAGTCAGCAACAGTACTTCCATTCATCGGAGACAATTACCTACCTGTAAACCTGTGACTACCCATTTAGTGCATAGAAAGATTAAGGATTTTCTATTTGAAGTAAGAAACGATGAACACATTTACTTTTTTCCCAGGCTGCAGTTTCGATGTAGGGCCAAATTGATTTTGAATGCATTCTAAGATTACAGTGGGGTTAACAATCCTGCACCATCTCTATTTTCCAAAAGACCGTTGGTCTGTTAGCCTGTGCACTATTCCAAAATCCAGACTATATGTAATATACAGTCTAAACAATACAAATGAATGTTTTTAGTTCTAATGCTGGAAAATTCAGCAGCTTCTCTGGTGTTTGCCCATTTGTGTACCAAAGACAGTACCTTGTTCTCAGCTCTTCCAAGGGAAGAGACTTAATTCCTTACACATTGGAGAAGCAGAAGAGTGAGCGGCTTAATGCAGTCTCTTCCAGGCACATCACAGGCCCCTCATCCACTGACAGGGAGCTTCTTTCATGAGAAATCAGGTCTCAAAGGCCCCACACCTTAATACCACCCACAGATGATTGCAACTAACCAGTCATATTGGAAGTAGAACAGATCATTAGCAGTCAGGTTCTACTCCAAAGATGAAGGCTTGATTACAAAATAAACAGTTCAAAAAATAATCCTGAGATATCAATCCATACTGAAATGCTAAGGATATAAAATTTGTAGCTAGCTTTTCCCACTGGTACAACCTTCACCTCTACTGCTATGCAAACAAGTTCACTCAAGTTCAGTGTATTGTCAAGAAAGCTATAGTAATGTGTTTAACCTGAAATACGTACAGATTAAGATTCTGTGCCAAAGCAGTTATGTACTCTTAACTGCTGAGCCATATCTCCAGTCCAAATACAATCTTACTCTCAATTCTATGAACCAGAAACATACTACCAATTCTAAAGATCATTCCTAAAGGGAAATTTTCAGAGACTAATGTAGAAACACCGCATCTAAAACATAGTTTCATGCCAAGGCAGAACTCTGCAGCTGCCAAGTCTGTAGGGAGTATAGTGAGACCTTGATGCAAGCAGCATTGACAACCTTGGAACAAGTGATCTCCAAATTCCCCATGTGCTGTACACACACAGTATTGAAAGAATGTTAGGGAATGAAAGACTATGAAGCACCAACTGAGAAGAAAGTACTGAGAAAGAAGAAAATCCTGGATTCATCAGTGTAACAGCTAAGTGGCCTCAGCTAAATCAGTCTCTACTGAGTACTCAGGCTTCTCAGGTACTGAATGGGAATGGAAAGACTTTCCTGAAGACCTAGGCAAGATCCCTGATAGGATATGTCATTCTGTAAATATGTTTCTCATACTGGTTAATGAATAAAGCACTGTTGGCCAATAGGAAAGCAAGAGAGGAGAGACTAGGAGACAAGGAGGAAAGAGGAAGTAGGAAGGAGGAGTCAGCATGGAGAGACTGGGGAGACCAGTAGCCAGGCCCCATTCCTTGGTAAGATGAAACCATGTGGAAATACTTAGATTAACAAAAATGGGTTAATACTTAAGACAGAGTTAGCCGATAAGAAACTAGTACCTGCCCAACAGCATTATATCAAACACAGAGCCTCTGTGCATTATTTGGGGCTGGCGCGGCAGCAGGACAAGACCAGTGGCGGGTGAAAACCCTACTCCTTACAGATCCCAAATTCCTTGATTACTCTAAGCACTTATACCAATGTTGGAAAACAACTCTAAATTCGTTTGGTCCTTCAGTATGCATTTATTAGCCATGTTACCCATGTCAGATACTGGAGAGCCCGGGAGCAGACACAGAAGACATACATACATACATCCCCACATACCTTAATGTCCAAGTGATTCACCAGTAAAGCATTCTACATATGTGTAAGTAACGAAGACCTAGACAATATGTTTGTCAACGGAAAGGTCACACTAACCTGTTAGCAAGAGCTTCTGCCCCATAATGTCTTCCTCCTCCACACTTAATTTGCTTAAGGAAATATAGTTTAAAAAATTCCTGAACTCATAATCACTCCCAAGTGTCAAGTTTATAAAAATACTTTATTTTAAAGACACTTCAACATCTTACTTTTAAGATTATACTAAAAAGACAATCAGTGTTCAGTATATTAGAGGCATATTTAATAGCCATGACAAAACCTCCTCCATAACCACTATTATGTATGTTGTTTACTGGATGGGGATAGTGGAGGACATGATTCAACATTTTACTTAAATATTACATAAATTGGATTTTTCTCCAAGAATGAGATTAACTGTTCCTATGAACACAATTTCACAAAAGTTACAAATATATATGAACTTACAACCGAGTTATTTAAAATATATATGAACATTAAACTGAGTCATTTATTATTTTTCAATGCTTTTTTAAAAAAATCTAGTTTCATATAGATTTTCCTTAAAAAACAAAACAAAACAAAAAGACTAACATATAATCTGAACAGTCCGTATTTTTCTGAAATATAAGCATATACCTAATAGTAAGGTCCAAAGTGAGAATTACTCTCTCCAGGAGAGGGAGGGGGAGGGGGTGGTGGAGGTGGTGGTGGGGGCAGGGAATATGGTAAATTAAGCAGGGGATGAGAGGCCATGTTAGGTACAGCCCACCCCATGCCTACAGGTGGGGGTGGGGGAGGGAGTGAAAAGTTATGCATATCAAACATAGGAGGGGGGAAGGGATAGTGGGGCATGACAGGATTATCTTGTCTTTGAGGTGGAAATCCCAAAGTCTCTTGAGATGCCATATGATCTGAGTTATACAACTGCTGCGGTGGAGGCCTGCTATGGCTTCCTCGGGAATATCTTCCCCTGGGAAAGCCTCTTGTGAATTCTCTGTTGTGATATCCTTTTGAATATTCTGAAGAAGAGCGATAAGCATTCCAATTCTGATGAACTTCACCACAATCCTCACCTTTGATGGCAGAAACACATAAAAGAAAAATTAAAATTTGGTTAACTATATCAAGATCATTGTTTAAAAAATGATTTCTATTTCTTTAGTTACTAACATGACAGACAACTCAATTTTAAATGAATTAAAAAGGTCCAACTTAACGCTTAAGGATTAGGAAAGGCCAGCAAGACAAAATATTTACCAATAAATGCATTCAAACACCACAAAACCCCAAAGTACCATCCCCACCCACACTCAAGACTGAGAAAGAAGGCTGCATTCCTGCTTAGCATTTGTCCTGCAGAAATGAAAATGTATTTTAGAAAACCTGTACAAACATATTTATACAAGATTTATTCCTGACCAAAAAAAAAAAAAAAAAATGAAAATAAGCCAGATGTTCTTTAATGGATAAACATTTAAACAATGCTAATTTACCCCATGCGACAGTACTCTGAAGAAAGGAACAATCTATACATCTAGAAACTTGGATGGATTTCCAAGCAAGTGTGATCAGCAGCAAAGCAAATGTGATTTTTAAACACTCCTGTCATATACTATAGGATTTTATGTAACATTCCTACAATGATCACATTAAAGAAATGGAGAATAGCACTGATAATACCAGCCAGGGGCAAAGCACTTGGCACGTGCAAGGCCATGACCTTGATCTAGTCTATCTAGTATTACAAGACAGACAAAGGAGGGAACAGAGAAAGACATAAGACAGAGAGAGATGGTTGTTATGAACTGAGGTGCAAAGATGCAAAGAATCACAACTGGAAAGCAAATGAAAGATTAAAAAACATTCTGTTCTGGTCACAGAATATTAAGCCTTGAGGATATTACTGCAGTAATAATTCAAGATGTGACATAGCAAGTTTTACATGGGCAAAGGGCACACAATAAATATATGTGCATCTACAATTATCTCAAAAGTTTCATTTTTAAAGAGAAAACAGATTATAAAAGGGAAAGTCAAAATAAACAGTGTGATTTGGGTGCCACACTACTGAATTCTAAATGGGCAAATGACAAATCTGTTTCTTAGAAAACCACAGTGTAAGCACAGCTGCCTCTAACAGACTAAGCTTGCTACCCTAGAAGACAACTTCAGATTGAGCTAAAACAACCCAAGTATTCTGGGGCTCTCAATATAGCCCCATGCTGTGTAATGCTTCCAATGTGAGGGGTATGAGGAGACAAGAGAGAACCCAGACGTTTTCTGTTATTTTTGCTTACATATTTGTAGAAGAAGGGTAAAATTGACTATACAGAAACAATATACTCACTTGATTCATTCAATTCGGATTTGAGTTTTTTCCGTCCTTGACTCTGAGATTTTTTCCTCTGTTTGGCTTCTTTTTCTTTTTCATCATCACTGAAATCCAAGGCCTTGCAGATAAAAATAAAAATTCAACTATCACTTGTTTGCTGACTTGTAGGTGAGGCTCAAGCTACTATTTACCCACTAACCCTGAGATAAGGTTTGCTCATTTCAATTTAATACTATTAATATGTGCATTAATATCTAAAGTATTAACAGAAAAAAATGGCTTTTTTGTGTGTTGGGTTTTTTTTAAGCCCTAATGAGTTTAATAAGCCAAATATCCAAAATTTGCCTTTTAAAAAATTTGTCTATTTAATTTCTAGAAAGCTTCAGATAAAAAATTTTAAAATGCCAAAAATCAGCAATCTTAAGATCAGGATACATGGTCCCCTGGCCAGGAACTAACATCATGCTTAGATTTAAGATTCAACACCATGACAGCTGTCAAAGAAAACAGTAATGAAAACTCAGCTATTTTTACCCCTCACCAGATCCAAAATAGAAATCAAAGACATCATCCCATCACTCAAAACCAGACACACCTTATCCATCAATCTCATCATACTCTCAAAATTCATTCTTTACAGCAAGTAATACAACAAATACTATGACTTCGTGTTAACATGAAGAGGAGTGTGTGGCTGGGTAAGGAAAAAGTAGAAAAGAAGACTTGTTAGCAGAAAAGGGAGCAAGAATAATATGCACAGTCAAAAGAACAGAATATATAGAAGTAAAAATGTTCTGTAAGGCAAACCAAAGCGTCTCTTTCTTACAGAAACAGAACACAGAAAAATTCATTGGAAGCAGCTTTAAAGTTTGCTTTGAATAAATTTTTTTATCATCTCCTAAAATCATTTTTCGTATACAAATTCAATTTTGCATTCATGGAATACTTAAATCAACTATAAATTTTTCATATATACACTAGAATTACAGATAAAGATGAGATTTAAGAAATTTAGAAGTCTAGGTCTTTTATGTACATCCAGCATTTTGCCATGATATAAAATTAGAGAATTCTCCTGGACTATAAAATGTCATTAACAACTATATAAAATTCAATCCCAACATTTTTAACGAGCTAGTCTGCCATCACTGCCCCTCCCCAATCAGACAGCATGTGGGATTTACTTCTGTAAAAACATAATCGAATCAAAACGATTTCACAAGAACTTAACATGAGCAAAATTATTAACTTAATCCTCAGACCTAAAACAGGGTTTAACATGATCAATTTTAAGACCCGAATAAATGATCACCAAATACTTTAAAACAGGCAATTTCATTATGAAGATGGTCTAAGCATAACAGAGAATTTGAGTAGATATCAACATCACTAGATAACATTTCTGTATATACCAAGACAGATTACTCCCTGAGCTGAGTGATTATCGTGTATGTCTCCCTATGTGGGTATAAGCCTCACTCATACAAGAAGTATTCAGAAATTAAATCTCCAATTAAATCAAAGCCACAACAATAAAATCTTTAGAACACCCAACTGGTCATCACCTGGATTGGGACCAAACAATCATGACACATTTGCAAGTAATTCAAAAAATGAGTTACACAGCTCTAGGCATATTAAATTATTGACCCACTTTAGGAGATAAAACTAAGGTCCCAGTTACATGGACATAAAACATAAAATCAAGAGATGAAGTTTCAAAAAAGTAAACCGTGTTACACAGACATTAGGAAATAGGAGTGGACAGATGCCATAACTCTACCCATACCCACAAAGGTCAACTTATTAAATGCATCACAGCCATGATGTACTACAAATTCGCTACACCTAAGGATAAACTCATTTTATGTAATAATAGTTTGTCTATCAACAAAGTTAATAAACATGAGAATTACAAAGTAAATAGTTAGAATGTGTATGTATGATTAAGGCATGTGCTGCTTTGTGAATTATTAAATAAAAAAGCTCCTACTAACTTCTGGAGGTGGTTCCTGATCATTCTTCCAAGAGGCATCCGATCCTCTGTCCCTAGAAAAGATTAGATTTTGTTAAGGGCTTATAAGAATTATGGGAAATTAAGATGAGTTCAACCTGAACTTTTATATGGAAACAGGAAGAAACTAAAAGACTATCTTTTGTGTCTTCTACGGATTTCAAATAACATTGGCATTATATAAGGAAAACAGAAGAAACGGGGCACATGCAACTGTCAGCACTGGGGATTAAGATGAGAAGTCTGCTGTGCAGAGCAAGTGGTTTTGCTCTTTTGATGTTCACTTTCAAGATGCCTGACTTTTGTAGAAAACTGTTCCACACCCATACACGAGAAGATGCTTCAGCTCCTGCAAACATGAAAAACAACAGAGCAATTCCCTTTTTAAAAGCTCCTCAGGAACAGGCAGAGGCAGACACAAGTTACTGTCCTTTACCCCACCTAAGAAATACCAACAATTCTCTGTGAGTTTGGAGAGGTGGAAGAACACTGAGTATTCTGAAGGATGTAGTGTAACCGATGCCTGTATGAAATGAGTCACTAGAAACAAAATTAGTAACTTTTGGTGGGAAGTAAAGAAAGTAAGTACCAGAGTATAATAATAATTTCTGAAACCTCATTTTTAAATCTGTTTAATCTTAACTATTTCATGGTTTTAGCTGTCTTTGTTAATAAACTATATTAATAGATTATTCTGACCTGATGTCCTCACCACGTTAAATTAGGTCTTAAAAAATAAATGAGTTTCTTTGGAATTAATGCCACTAAAACCAATATACAATGACACTGCAACAAAATGAAAACTGAATTGCTTTAAATTTTCACTGGGATTTTTGATATTATATATGGTGTATTATCAATGACTATTTTATCATCTGGTTAGCTGTCATTAACCTGTTCACCTGACATAAAACCAGTGTTCCGTTTTAATATAGTTAGTACAAGAAATGATGTGTAAAGTCCTTAGTCTGGAGGTGAGATATCAGGAAAGTTCCTTAGCTAGTTTGTCTAGTGCAAGAAACCGTAATTCCCCAAAGAATAATCAAGCAACAGGACACCAAGTGGACAGAGAGCTAACTGAACTAGTCTTGCTAGGGGTGGAACTGTCAAAGGGTTGAACTACTACTCTACCCCAAAAGCCAAGTTCTGCAGGCAGCAAGTATAAGGAAACACAAAATGAATGGATGGTAGGGGCTACATACAGTTCAGCCTCACCATTCACTTCTCTGGTTTATTCATATTTTTCTCAGAACTGAAAATCAAGACTTAAAAGGCTGCCTTTATTTAATTTTGTGAGCATTTTCAGAAAACCTTTGTGGGTATGTGTTAAAGGATACATATGGTGCACATTCCCTGAGAGTCATCTTTATATTCAAGGAAGAATGAAATGGACATTGCTTAAGCATTAACTAAAATATAAAACCTTCATGATTTAGTATCCATTTAATTCATTTATCCTGTCATCAATTCATGCAGAGAAATTAACCACGCACAGCTGGAAAAATAATTAAGGCCAAATGGCTCCACTTTAGATTCTTAAACATGATTTGTCCATTATGAAGCCAAAACTTTTACCTCTGAAATTGTAAATGAAGTTGAGAAACCAGATTTAATATAAAAATAGAGAACTTCTTACATGGTACAGCTGAGACTAGTATTTTTTTTATAAGGCTAGACACAGTAGAACAAACTTATAGCTAGGGATACATGACACCCTGCCCTAAACCAAAACAAACTAAACAAATACAGTTCTTTAAATATTAATTTTACTGGAAATAATTTTTCTTATGAGGTAACACTAATACTGAAGTAGTTTGGATTATATGTGATTAAAAAAAAAAAAAAAACAGTGAAGTAGAATGCTGTGATCCTAGTGGCTTATTTGGGTTAATAAAGTAAAAAAGTACATAATTTCTACCTATTAATGCTGATGACAAATCAATCATAGCTCTGATGGCAAATCATAGCTCTCAAAAATAAAGTCATAAGAAACTGCCATCTATGGCACTGGTTCTCAGCCTTCCTAATGCTGCAATATTTAATATAGTTCCTCATGTTGTGGTGACCCTTGAACACAAAATTCTTTAGTTGCTACTTCATAACTGAATTTTGCTATTGTTCTTAAATGACCACAATGAAAAACAAGCAATGAAACACTTACTGTTTGAGTTTTTCTGTAAATATATACTGAGTGAAGTCTTTCATTGATGGGGCAAAATACATAGTATCCTTTATTTTGATTCCTTTACTCTCAATGTGATCTGAAGAATTAAACCGTAACACATAAAATGGATGAGCAACAGGTCCAAATATCTCAAATATCTACAAAACAGAAGACATGGAATATATATCTTTTAATTATGATTTGAAAAGGTAGCAAGATTTTTTAAAACACTGATAATTGCAAAAATAAGGTAATCCTATGTTACAGCAACATTTTTTACACTCAGAGTTCCCAAATTTTGATTACAAATATGATAGCTTTATTACAATTTTCTTTCAAAGAAAAGAATATCAAGTTTGGGTTTTTGCCCATTCAAATAATTTTGATGCTACTTGCGAGGTGCAAATAATGATTTTTTTCTCCCAATGTTCATGAGTTATATACTATATAGAATGCAGTCAAAAATTGGAATCATATGATGAAAAACACAAAAGCAAGCTTCTGAATGAAAAGACAGAAGGTCAGTTAATGCGGATGCCATTTTCGTAGGGCGAAGCACTGGCTTTTCTTAGCTGACAATGCAGGGCAGCTGGCAGAGTGCTGCAAGGAGCTCAAGAATGTCAGTAGTTAGGAGGCGGTCTGGCCTCTTCTCTATGTTAGTGAGTGGACACACGAGCTGCCTTTGTGAGCTACCACACTTTGTTAACTTGTACTGCTGAAGGCAGTTTCAGGGAATCTCAGATTTGTTCCGTATCATGCGTGATGCCATGATAGAATTCTGGAAGAGTTGCAATTGTCACAGCTGAAAGCATGGTGACAAAGAATTTACATTATTTCTTTTACTAACTTACTAACGGCACTGGTGTGCCTGTTTCACCACTGCTAACCTAGCAAGGTAAGACTATTCTTAGGTTTATGAATACTCTAAAAACAAGCAATTACAATTAAAGTAATATAAATGAAAACATTCTGAAATATGTTGATACATCTTTTAATTTAAAAAATAAAACAGTAATTAACAAAATAGCAAGACAAAAGTTTTGAAAGGTTTATCCCAATATGAGCTGCATGGGATAGAAAAACCCTTCAGCACTACCACTATTACTGGTCTACAATATATAAATCACTATCTTACCTTCTGTGGTAATTAAAAAAAAAAAAAAAAAAAAAAAAAACCAACTTCCTGGATAAACATGTTTAAGATAGCAATAATCTGCATCATTAAAAAAAAATTCCTATGACTCCAGTAAATACGTGGTCTGTAAGGCTCATTACCAGGGTCTCATTCTTTGGACACTGTGATTCTATTTCTATCTGTGGAAATGATTTTTTCAGAGGATCCCTATGACAACTTCAGGCTTATGCAGAGTTTGGTTTGCACTAAAACTACGACACTGAAATTTTTACATGCATGTTAAGTAACCCTTTCCTCGGGATTTGAAGCGTGTGTGATTTACAGCTACAATGAAAGTATTATAAAGTTTTAAGTAAAAAAGTATTACAAAGCAAGTGAAAGGAAGATTGGTTATGACAGACTTAAAATGCACAAGTCCTGGAAGAAGGTGTTCATGGTCCTATCTTAATCACAGGAAAACTTGGCTGAGTTCAAATTAGCAATTGACCTAATCGAGATTATTTAAAGGATGCGGTAACACTACTTTAAAACAAAACAAAGAAACAATCAAAAAACCTTGTGATCCTCAGAGTAAAATCCAAGGTTGAAAACCACCTGGGGGTGAAGATGTGGAGAGCAACTCTACACAGAAGGGCTCTGAGTAACACACCTTCTTATACAGTCAGTCTCCTGTGATTCTCTGCACCCTTCCTAACATCCTACTCAACTTAGCAAAGTTTGTAACTATACATCATCTACTGGGAAATTAAAACAAAGGAAATTTTACTTGTGAGAAAAGCATCTCAAATTTGCTCAAACTGTTGAATACTGGGCTTATCTTCTCCTTTTCAAGTACACCAAATTCTCTAAGTAAAACTTACACCCAGATGTAACTTTTGCCTCCTGGAATTAACTTTCATCTAATGCACATCAAAATTTATTAATCTCACTTTATAAGCCTAAAAATCACAAATATCTGCACTATAAAATGCCATTTTTAAGACTGAATTAGCAAAGCATGAATTCTTAAATTAAAATTGCTCAAAAAATAGATGCCATAAAACCATAATAATTAGAAAAACAATCACATAATTTTATTTCAGATTAAAAGAATTTCCCATGCTTCTTCCCTTTCCATTCTGTTATCACTTCCTTGAGGACACCAACAAGCATTCTGCTTTTGCTGAGGCAAATTTGGTTTCTTCTGAAATAGTACAGTGGGCATGGAGAGCTACCCACAACCTCATAGTCATGTAGCCTCTCCCACTCCTTTCCTCTTTCCAGCCTATGGTTGTTTTCTCCCCAAGTGTATGGAGATGTGCACTGGCATCAAAAATGTCCAGCCTAAGTTTTCAAAGGAGGAAAAGAACAGCATCATCCTACACACACAAATTTTCCTCTGTTCATCACTTTCCCCCAAATAAAAATTGTTCTCAATGCCAATAAAAATTCTGCCAGGAACTGCTTCGTAATCAGTTGTGGTCAACTAGTCAGCCAAATTAAACACAGGCTGGGTAGTGAAAGGTGACAGCACTTGGTAAAACTTGATCCTTTCTAAGCCGTTTTAAAATTAAAACTGGGGAGAACAGAGAACTGAGAAAGGTATGTGAGTTCGCCCAAGATTATTTCCTTCTTCCTAACTTAGTGTAAGCTATCTTGATCTCCTAAAACAAACAACCAAAGTTCATCTGGGAAGAACTAAATTCCAAAAGCACATTACAGAAAGCCACAGGTTTTTTATTCATGTTTTCAAGCAAGTATCCATATACTCGATACATTTACTTTGAAAATGATCATTTGTTTAATACTTATAATCTTGAATTTGAGTAGTCCACAATCACTTTACTTACTGGGCAGAGTGTGTGGTTTTCAGATTAAGCATAGACATACATGCTTACCCAGTAAGAAGGTAAAAGGGGTCCAGTGGACCTGGCTACTAAATCCATACTGACAACCCCCAACTTGAGCATGGAACAACACTGAATTTATTGCTGAAATATTTCCCACTTAAAGATTCCACTCTGTACTTCTACCTCAAGAAACCAAAATATGAAGAGTTTGAAGGCCACTAATTGCATAAAAACAATAACTATTACTACCCCTGTGGAATCCTACTCACTCAGCTCTGAGTACCTGCGGGGAGAACAGCAATACCATACTCAGTGTTTAGTACTTCTGCCCTTAAAGTCTCCGACAAACACTGAGGACAAAAATCTTCACATGTGAACTCAGTGCTCCATGCAGCAGAGAATTCTAAGGATCAGCACGCCAATTTACAACACACATGAAGAAGTGTGACGTCTATGTAAATTAATAAACTCCAAAGACAAACAGGAGAAACTAGAATAGAAAATAAAGAAACAATAATTTGTATGATGAGTTTTAACAAACCTTCCCGGCTGCTTGTCGATCACTTTTGAAAATGACAGTGTCCTCATTTACTGGAGGTATGTTAGTCAGGGACTCAATTATTACTGAAAAACAAAGAACAGGTCATGGTTTAAAAAGAATACATGTCATCATGTAGTCACAAACTTCATTATAGAGAACTGGAGCTCTTTCATACAACTTTTGCTTATTTACTGACAAATGAAAAGTTTAATGACTTATGAAAGCATCTATCTCTGAAAACAAGGTGACAATGGGCCCACATACCTTTTGCAAAAAGCAAACACATAGTATCCCAAGTGTTTAGCATAATCCCCAATACTTGTAATGCTATAGTTTTTAAAGTGGTCTACATAGCAATATGCAACACACACACACACACACACACACAGGCATGTTCACTGGAAAGGAAACACATATTATTAAAAGTAACTCAATTTTTTTCTTTTGTATCTCAATTTAGTGTTGCAACTAGTAGTTTTAAGTTCTAAATATAAATCCATGATGTCAAATTCAGGAGACCCCACACATACATACATATATACAGAAAATAAATAAAATGTAAAGAAATATATATCATGGAGTAAATTTGAATGCAGTAAATGCAGCAACAGGGTTAAGTTTTATAATTATTTTTAGAAAAATAAAGATTTTTGCTTTAATCCAAATTTAAAACAAAATATTACACAATTATGGCAAATGTTAATTTTTTAAAAACATTGATATGGCTGTTGTTTAGAAAAGGATCAAAAGATAAAGTTCCTTTGCAGACACTTATACAATTGATCAGGAGTAAGACTTGAATTCTGTGTTATATAGGTTCTATAAATTAAGAGGGCTTGTAATTTAGTTGCTTTCCCAAATTAAAAAACCCTATGGTTTCCTCAACTTCTAACTGTAGTCTTAGACTTATCTCATTGTAAGAGTTAGTGGTTGTTCTTGGTTGATTACCAGAACTTTACCATAAAGAAATACTAAAATCCAATTGTCAAAGACTAATACTTTGGTTGCAGTATAGAAAAGTTTAGCCAAATTCAATTGAGTTGTGGAAGGGAAAACCTCTTGGCCTAGGGGGCCTTGTAGGGTCAATCACTTTATCTTTTAATTGTTCATCTTTCTATGAAAAATACAAACTACTGTCCTCAGCAAATCCAGATTTAATGGGAGGATGAAGTTCAATTTCTTGTAGGTAAATCTCTATATTCTCCACACATAATACATGTTTAAAAAATAGTAACAGTTCTCACACTTTCTCCTAGCCAGAGAAAAGGCATGATATGAGGGTCTTCCTTGTGTAGTGAACCTTTCCAAGGGGTAGGCAAAGTCAGATGTAATGATGGTGCAAGGTCACACAGAGGATAAATTCCTGGCTTTAAGAATGAAGAAGCTGGGTGGTGTTGGCACCTGCCTTTAATACCAGCATCCATAGACAAAAGCAGGTGGATCTCTGAGTTTGAGGCCAAACTGGTCTACAGAGAGAGTTCCAGAACAGTCAGAGCTACACAGAGAAACCATGTCTCAAAAACCCAGAAAAGAATGAAGAAGAGAAACAGGAGACAGGAAACATGTGAGCTGAGTCTAGAAACCAAAAAAAAAAAAAAAAGAGGGGGCTCCTCAAAAGAGCCTAAGAATGGGGCTCAATTACTCTTGGACAGCAGACCTGTATCAGACTACAAGTCAACAAAGCTGTTAGATAGGAAATTTGTGTTGTTGTATATCACAAAATTTTTTTCAACTTGTTACAGACAATACAGTAAAACAAATCAGAGGAAGTACCCAAAATTCTCAGCAAAGCCAAGAAAAAGTAAATTTAACCAAAAACTCAATATGTTACTTCCCAGTTTAATGACTAAGATAAACTGCATATGTTTTAAAGAAAATTTACTACATCAACTCCTTGACCTATTGTTAGTGCATGCTCGGACATAAATTTTGTTAATAAAAGTTACTTACACACCTAATTGTTCAATAATGCTTGAAACCTTCCCAAGAGGCTTTAGTTCAATGTCTTCGGGAAGAATAACAGTGAGTTCTTCAACACAAGGCAGTTCCTATAATACAGTGAAAAGTATTAATTGTCTTCCAGCTTCAATAACTTAAAAGGGAGAGAGAAAATTTCCCGTTTAGAGTGGGACACAGACTGTTAAAGATGTAACATTAAGGGCTTAAAACATTCCTTTGATGTTTCCTTTGTACAGTTGATTGAACTTCTGATTACAGACCTGCAGCTTACGAGGCTCAGTGACTCTAAAATATAAGTCCACTTGACAAGAAATGACCTCTTTAAACCAATTGAGGAGTTCTATTAAGAACTATAATTCTTCCACAGCAGGAGGGCTTGCTTTGAGCTGTTTGTTAATTTGTCTGATTAATTAATGTGACTTTAATTATAGCAAAAAAAAAAATCTGCATCTCTGGCACCATGTGAAGAGTGAAAGTCTGACAATGACATCAATCAAATACAGCATTCTTGGAAACAGATGTGGCCTGTAAAAGCTGTAAAGGTATTACCTCATACCTTCCCTTTCTAGGTTAGAAAGTACAATTTTTAATACTTCCAGCTTTCTTATTTGACCCAACTGTAGAGCACACCTCAGTTGTTATAAAATCTAAATACTGAAATAGACAAGCAAAACCTAAGAATAAAACTGGCACTCACTTTTACTCTAAATGAACAGACCTTGTTTGCTCTTGACCCTTAACCAAATGATACTCCTTTCCAAAGGAGACCTGAAAGTGCAAAGGCCCTATCAATGACCTTGGTGGTTAGCAGCAGTACAATGTTTGGAGAAATGTTGAAAAAAGATGAGAAAAATCAAAGTAATGCAAAATACAATGCAAATAGTAGATTATGGATAATCATTTTTTTCTGTGGGAACTTAGTTTTTAAAAGAATTATTCATAGCTTTATTCATAATAGCCAAAAACTGGAAACAACGTAAATGTTCCTCAACCAAAGAATTCATAAGAAAATGTGGTACATTAACACAATGGAGTTGTGTGAATTCAGCTGTTGAGAAATTTTAAATTTTCATTATGAAATTTTCAGGCAAACGGATGTAAGTAGGAGGGAAAAAAAAAAAAAAAAAAAAAAGAAATCACCCTGAATGAGGTAACCCAAACCCGGAAAGACAAATATGGTATGTGCTTACTTCTAAGTGGACATTAGCTGTTAATTAAAGGATAATCTTGCCACAATGCAGACCCTGGGAGGCTAAGTAACATGGAGGACTCACAAGGGGGTGCATGTGTCTCCCTGGCATGGGGACACAGAACAGATTGTACAGGCGCACTGGGAGGTGGAGGTGGTAGGACGGAACAAGAGAGCACTCAGAGAGACTGCTGGAACTGGGGAAGAGGCATTTCGGGGGCAATATGACAACCTAGTGCAATGGAAACTGCCTGGAATCTAAGAGAGTGACTCCAGTGAAGACTTCTAGTAATAGGGGAGCTTGAACCAGCCATCTTTTGGTACCAGGCAAGGTTTCCAGTGATGGGACTGGGATATCAAACCAGCCACAAAACCTTTGACCTACCATTTGTCCTGCCTGGCAAGATGTGCTAGGACAACAGTGACACAGATCTTGAGGGAGTAGCCAACCAAGACTGGGCCAGCTTGAGATCCATGCCATGAGAAGGAGCCCACGCCTGACATTGTCTGGAAGGTCAGGAACCAGATTCTGAATAACCTACAGACCTAGGATAGATAGAACCAAACATGACTGGCAAAAAAATAAAGTCAATGAAGTGATTCAGAATGATACTCTGCTACACTCAAACTAGAGCCTAGTCTAATAGTTATCAGAGAAGCTTCATCTAGCATCAGGATTCAGAGACCCACAACCAAACTTTAGGGGGAACTTTAGAAATACTATGGAAGATTCCCTCCTGGAAGGCATCACCCTCCCTGTGGAGTGTGTGTGTGTGTGTGTGGGGGGGGGATGGGAAGGTGGTGGGGGTGGTGGTGGCATGGGAGGGAGGGAAAGGGAACTGGGATCTATATGTAAAATAAGAAAAAAACAAAAGAAATACTATGGAAGAGGGAAGGAAGAATTATAGGAGCCAGAGGGTCAAGGACAACATAAGAACACAGCCCACAGAATCAACTAAACAGGGCTCATGGAATTCACTAAAATGATAATCAGGGAGTCTGCATGGTTCTCCTCCAGGTTCTTTGCATATACACTATGGTTGTGTGTGGGAAAACTAAGCCTCAACAGGCCTGCCAGCTGGCCTACAGCAGGCACAGTTGATATCTCTTGACAGCTAGACCAGGTCTGGCAGAGGGCCCTAACAACAGAAGATGAGAGATGATGTGGACCTATGGACAATGACCATATCACCTCAGCAGATGCCAGCTCAGTGGATCTCCTCCCCTGGGGCAGGGATAGGGAGTATATAAATAAAGCTTGCCACTTCCCGGAATAAACTAGGCTTGCTGTTTCTACTTGTTCCTGATGCCTGTGTCACTGATGTTGCACCTACTTTTCCCCCACCCCCAAGGGACATCTGTAGGGATCTTGCAACAGTTGTTTAGCTTGGTGTTCTTAAGGGATTCCTAACAGTAGTTGTCCCTGATTTTTCTGCCCACTCTTGAGACTCTTTTCCTACTGTACTGCATCATCCAGACCTGATATAAGGGTGTGCCTAGTCTTATTGTAATTTCTTGTACTGTGCATATGTGATATGTATTATCAGTTGATAATCCCTGGGAGGGCTGTTCTTTCCTGAAGGGAAACGGAGAAGAAATGGGCCTGGGGGGAAGCGAGAAAGAGAAGTAGAGGGAAGAGAAACTACAGTGGGGATGTAATATATGAGAAAAGAATAAATAAATCAGAAACAACCATATAACCATATTATCTAAAATACACTTTCCTTGTGAGACATGCTATTTATTTATTTTTAAATCAATGATCACTTACAAAGAGATACACTAAGGGTTGCAGGCAACTCAATGCAGCAATTTGCCTCAACATGATTAAAACATAACTAGGGTTAGATGACAACCACCTGCCATTTTTGAAATTTACTATTTTTTAAATCATCATGTGTTTTCCCTAGATGTATATCTGTTTACCATGTGTATGCTTAATGCCCAAGGAGGCCAGAAGCAGGCATGAAATCCCTGGAACTTGAGTTATAGATGGTATTGAGTCACCAAGTGGGTTCTGGGAATTGAACCTCTGAAGGGCCCTCACTTGGCATTTTAACACAATAATGACAGAAGATTTTCTGGTAAGATGCTGTTTTTAAAGTGTTAGTGTATATATCAGACACCAAAAAGTCTTTCAAAGTAAATTCTAATTGTAAAAGATAGGTTCATGTTAAAAACAAACAAACACCTTTAATCTCAGCACTCAGGAGGCAGAGACATGCAGACCTCTGTGAGTTTGAGGCCACCCTGGTCTACAGAGTGCGAACCAGGACAGTCAGGACTACATAGAGAAACTCTGTCTCACCCACCCCCCCCAAAGAAAACAAGCGAGCAAAAGCCACTCTCTAGCAGTACAGAATACAAAGTAGAAAACAATTCCCTGACCTCATGCTTGCCAGTTACTATCACAAGTCTGTGTTTCCTACAAATACAATCACTATGCAGATAGATACATGCTTTATAAACTTGATACTTTCCACTTTCCTGAAATAGCCTTGCTATTTCCTTTACAGTCTGCATATTTTCCTATACCAAAATATAAGTATCTACCCAATTGTACTTAACACCTACAGTATGGTCCTGTAGAGGTGTGCCACAATGTACCACAGTAATCATGTAATTATTTATCTGCTCCCTAAAAATCTTTATCTCACATTTTTACAGATCTTTGTGGGACTTCTGTGGTAAGTAGATCTCTTATATTAAAAGACAAGTATTATAAATCGACATATACTACTAAATTTATTCTAAAAAACATTATTGATTCACACTTCCTACAGTGTGCCATTACTGAGAAGCAAATTTAAAATCACTGCCAGTTGATATAAAAGAAAATAGTATCTTGCTTTAAAACATCTTGTTTTGAACTAGACTGTAAGACTGAAAATCCTTTTTATATTTCTTGGTAATCTGTATATGCTTATGAACTGCACATATAACATATCAGTGTTATTTTGTTTTGCTTGAGGATTTCTCTTTTATTGACTTTTTTAAAAGGATATTTTCCTTGTTTCAAATGTGTAATGTTCCCCTTGCTCCTAGCAGTTTGTTTGTTAGACATGTGGTACTTCTGAGTTGTCTTAAAAACCCAGGTATTTTCTCGACTTCTCTAGTTTCAGAATTCAATATTTATCTGACCCAATCATTATGGTATCCTTGTACAAAAGTAGAACAGGGACTGGCTTTATCTTTACCTAAAATACTAGCCAGCAATCCCCACAGATTATAATCTTGAAAAAGCGACTGTAACGTTTAAATATACAAATATACTTATCCTTGCAGTAGACCAGACTGGTCTCGAACTCACAAGAGATCTGCCTGCCTTTCTCTGCCTCCCAAGTACTGGGATTAAAGGCCTATATACCACCAACGACCAGCTTTATCCTTGCAGATTTTAATCAATATCTCAATTTAGTTCTACTAATCTGTGACAGTCAGTACCACATTATTTTAACAACTGTAGCTTTTATAACATTATAGCATTTAGAAAAAGCTAATTTCCTACCAATTCCATCAATGTTTTCCCTGATGGCATTTTCCCAACTGTTCTTACATGTTTATTTTACTAGGTAAACTTCAGAACTGCCATATTAGTATTGCTGATATTGACTGAGACCAGTTTAAGTAGTTTCGATATCTACATAGGCTTATTATAAGCTACTTTATTCATTACTTGCTATCATAAATTCCTAGTATTGGGCCTACCTAAACCCCCTCCTCACACACTCTCTTCTTTCCCCTCCCTCATCACTCTCCAAGTTTCAATACACAGCCCTGGCTGTCCTAGAACTCACTATGTAGATTAGACTGGCCTTGAACTCAGATCATCCTACCTTTGCCTCCCAAGTGCTGACATGTGTGCCACTATGCTTCTTGATTCTTTACAGGAACACAACT